TCGGCGGGGAGTCTGCTTCTCCCTCTGACCCTCCTCCCTCTCATGCTCTCTGTCTCTCATTCTGTCTCAAATAAATAAATAAAATCTTTAAAAAAAGAAGCCTCCCGCAAGGTCAAAAACTAAGCAATGTTTTTTATGCTTGGTTTTCCATGGTATGTGAGGAGCTTGGAGCTGGAAGACCCTCAAAGGGGGATGACTTGCTATCTATGGGTGTCCATTTACTGATGTCTTCAGGAAGCAAGAAGAGGAGCTCTCAGCCAGCTAATGATCATGCCAGTGGCCTCTCCTAGTCTATCACCTCAAAAGGATCTGTCAAAATAACAAAGGACACACTTTCCGGTCACAGGATTACCCCTCAGCCAGGCCCTCCTGGTTTGATTAGCAGTTACTTTTCCTCTTAGTGTCCTTCTTCATCTTCTTCTCCTTCTTTTCATTTTCTTCCTCTGCCCCTCTCATCAATAAAGGTCACTGCGTTAAGGAAATCGCTTCCCTGAGAAGAATTTAACAGTATCCTATTATAATCACGTTGTCCTGCTCAGAAGCAGGTGGTATTACCTGTCAGCGGGGTTTTGGACGTTGCAAATAGCTGCCACCCACCTCAGCCGAGGCTCCCGGGCAGATAAAGTGACCAAAGGAGACAGCCCTCCGGAGGCCTCAGAATCTCATTTCCATTCCCTTTGTGGAAAAGAGACTGACTTTATTGACAAAGACGACTGAAAATTGCTTGAGCGTTCCAATAACCAGTCTGCGTTGAAGCAGAGAGACAGTCTGGCGGAGGCGAGCTCCCTGCTCCGCGGCAGCTCCACCGAGCCACGCTGTGCCGCCGCCTGTGCATATGCAGACCAGACTGGAAGGAGCCTCCGACGTCCTCAAAAGCAGCCCCTCTTCACCTCCACTCCCAGCCTGCTGTTGCCTTTCCTGGATCCCAACCATAAGTCAACATGAATTCAGGGAATCTCTGCCAGAAACCAAACTCGTAGGCTGATTTGGGGCCCAGAGGTCGGACCTGGGTGAGCTGGACGAGGCTAATGTCCCACTTCCCACGGGAGTGCTCTGTGGCTTGACTGCACCTTCCAGGTAAGCCACTAGGTGTCCCCACCATGGATCCCTGTCCTTATTCCCAGGTCCTGCATACAAGCCAGTCCCAGGGGCTAAGGGAAGCTTACACAGAATTCCATCACCACCTGGAATGCGGGGCTGCCTTAGATGCTAGGACGGTCTGAGCTCCTCGCAGGCCTCTTCTAAACCAGTCGGTGGCTCAGACCCCAAACAGCTGAGCTGAAAGTAAGTAGGAGCAATGTTAGCTGGAGTAGCCCCTAACTCTCACAACAGGTGCCCCCTCCAATCCGTCCTAGCCATCACTGGCCATTGGGTACCCTCCTGGCTTTATTCAGGTCCTCGGTAAGAAATATATTAATATGTGGGCCTCATAGCACCAGAGATTTTAGATGTCAATGCGCTGCGGAAATAATGTAGGTCTGTGGCTTTTAGCAGAGAATGAATGACAGATAGATAATTTATGATGATTCTCGAGATCTGAACTGTAATTATGAAGTATTTCTAGGTGTATATTCAGGATGCAAAGTGTAAGGAACCTAGAGCTAATGTTAATTTATTACTGACAGCTGTATGTATAATAATATATCATGTCTTTTAATCTTACATGCCTTCTGACTTACATCAAGCAATCCTTTCATTCATTAATAAAATCAAGCCTTGCCATTATTCTTAATGATAAAGTCCCATTTTGAATCTGGAGGGCTCCTATAATTAAACTCTGTACTTCCATATACCAGACATCTGAAGCTCAAAAAAAAAAAAGATAAATTGAATGAACTTCTTGTTTTACAGGCAGGATGAAAAAACATCAGAAAGATGGAGCCCACCTGCTCACAGTCCCACTGGAGCTAAACAGAAAGTCGGGGGAAATGTCTGTGTTTATCTTCTCAGTTCACACCACTACTCTTCTTTTTTTCTCTCCTTTTAGTCCCCTCCCCCCTCCTGCCACCCCTCCACCATCTTTCCTTTTTTGAGGCAGTATATTCAAAGGATATTTTTTTAAAGGTCAAGATAAAAATTACAACTAAAAGAAATACAGGCTAACATGTCTCCTCCAATTTTCCATGCTGTGCCAAAGACTTACACAATTAATCCTGTCAAAAGAAATCTAATCTAATCTTATTACACCAAAGACAAGGTGTCCTTTATAAGTATCGTGGCTGGGAACAAGTTGGTCTTCTCAAGTTTCGACTGGTTCAGTGTCTCATTCAGTTTACAACCAGTCATCACCGTGGCAACTTACTCACTGCACTGCCCTTAGCGTTCCCAAAATTTAAACAGTGTTCTTGTTGAAGTCGTCAAGCACACGCCACGTATTATCAGACTCCCTGGTCATTTTAGAAGATACAGACCCATGATACTTGTAGAAGCAAAACTTTTAACCTCATCCACTAATTAATGATCACAAAGTGGAATAATGAGATACGTGGAGATAGGGATCCAGCCATCTCTCATCTGGAGACAGAATCAGATTCCAGTGACTAGGTGCAAGAGAACTGAATAAGCAAATTTCCTATCTGTGACACTAAATCTTACTATGACCAGTTAATTAAATCATGATAAATAACATTCTGTGGCAAGTGGAAGGTGCTCAGAAGAGTTCAGTGGGATGACCACAAATTCAGTGGCTCAAAGACATTCACTACATCTGAGTGTCTCTGCATTCCTCTGACTTAAAAATATTTACTGTAATTCTCTGGAGAACTCTCGTACAGGAAAGAAAAATACTGAGGTTTTGCTCCACCGGCTTTTTGAAGTTGCTAATGTTTTCCTATTGGTTCTGGGTCTTCTACCTTCTCTGTCTTCAGGAATGAAGGTTCTAATTCATTAACATCACTATCTGACTGGTTTCTTTCTATTGGTTCTGCCTCTTCCTGTTACATCAGTGTAGGGAGGAGGAATGTCAGTCAGCAGGGGCCATGCCATGCTGCAGTAACAAACAGCTCCAAGGGTCAGTGACTTCCTCACCCTTCATATCCATGGTGGGACAGCTGGGGGCCTGGCTCACCGTTGATACTCTAAGATGGGGGCTGACAGGATGGCCACCATTTTGAACATTGCCAGTCATCAAGTCAGCAGGAAGACAGTACTCTGGAAGCAACGTCACTGGCGATCAAATGCTCCAGGATGGAGATGACACCTCCACCACACACAATTCATGAGCCAGGACCAGTCACAGGCCACACCTCTGAGCCCGGAGGAGGGCCAGGAAGTTTTATCTAACGTTGTCCTGCAAGAGGGACGTTGGAAAATAACGGTGTATTCCACAGAATTCTTCAGAATTCCACAGAAACTTCAGACAGATAAGCTTATCTTCTTTCTCTTGTTGAGAAGTCCCTTATTTTCCCTAGATCACAATTTCTCCACTTTGTTTTTGCCCTCTTTCCTGATCAAATAATTCTCTGACTTCTATCCACTTTCAGATTCATGTACATTACAGTTATTACTAAATTTTCTCTTCAGATAGCTATAAACTAGGATTATTCATATAGCGCAAAAAAAGGAAAGAAATTTGCACATTGTTCTCGCTTTCTCCTTTTCATGTATTTCTGGTTTTCCTTATTTTTTTTTCCTTCCCCTCTTCCAGGGTCATCTCCTGCTCAATCTCTTTTCTTGAAAAAAACTGTTCAACACTTTATTTCTCCTTCTTCTTAGCTATTTGGTCCAACTGGCAAAGGAGTCTGTAGATTAGCAGAAATCTAACTTTCCTGGTTTCCTAACCCCCCCAATTCAGGTGAATTTGTATCCTGAGATACAGTAAGGAGAATTACTGACCTGTCTGAAAGGTTCCTAAGTTTTGCTAGATATTTCTCCCACTTGATAATTGAGAGCCCAGCCTGCTGCAAAGACTTCTAAATATATCTGGAAGTCCCCAAGGGCTATCTCAATGAACAAGTCCAATCCATTACCGTGCAGAGAATCTTAGGTTTGCTCCCTTCCTACTTCTCCTGGCCCACCTACTGAGTCCAGACCCAAACACCCTGCTGTGTGGTTCCTAATGTACCAAAACAGTCCAGCATTCTCTGTGAAGTTGGATGAAATGCTTCACTCCCTTTGTATTTTACTCTGTTCGCAGGGGAGCAAAACAAGGCTGCTTATAACCCTGGTGTATATGTCATGAATAAAAACAGAGCCAAATGACAAACACCATGGTGCCCTCAGAAACACTGAGGTTGTGTTACCGTGTGGAGCTACCAAGTCAGGCCATAACCCCTACGATGAGTTCTTTCCCTGAAAATCTTCCGTCTTTCAAGCAAATAGATTACCCAGGGCTAGCCCTGCCCCTCACCAGTCACACCTTAAGTCCAGCCACAAACCTAGCTGGGGCCTCTCCATTTTAGCCAAGAATACCACAAAAAAACATAGTCCAATAAGCGCAGGTACAAATTCATAAGCATAGGGCTGAAAAGAGTGCCAGTGCTCATGGTGAAAAGCCAATTGGGGAGGAGATGGAGTGATGAAGCTAGCCCACAGCAGACAGGAGCGACGTGGGAAGACACACCGACTTCTAGGCCTAGGCGACCACTGAGAGGGCAACGTACACGCCTTGGGAGGCCGACGACCCAGACCCGAACCCACCCGGGACCGAGGCTACCCCGCCCCGCCAGGGTACCTTCCTAGCGCCCGCCCAGCCGGAGTGCCCTAGGATGCCCGTGGGCGGGGCCTGAGCATCGCCCCGCCCCGCCGCCCGCCACTCGGGTCACCTGACCTGCCCGCGGCTCACGTGATCCGTCCCCAGCGCCGCCATTTTGGAGCTCCGGATGAGGAGGGGAAAAGCGGGGGAAAAGAGGGAAAAGAGCCGGGAGAGAGGTGGGCGAGGACGAGGGCGAGGGCACGGCCGGGCTCTTGGCCGGCCAAAGGAGGCTCGCGGAAGCAGCAGCCGCCGCCCGACCGCAGGTACCGCGCCCCGGGGCCGCCCCTCCGCCCGCAGGTAGCGCCGCCGCCGGCCATGTGCGTCCTCCCCTCAGGCCTCTACCGGCGCCCGCTTCCTCTTCAGCGGGCTAACACCGCCCGGTGCTCGCCACACGCCCCAAGTTCCGCGTCCTCTTCCAGCGCTCTGCGCCGCCCACAGCAAGGCCTGCGGAGACCCCGGGCTTGCCCTGCCGTGGGGGGTGGGGGGGAAACCTGCCGCTCTCCGCATACTGTCACCAGCCTGGTCTGCAGGCGGGCCTGCGAGGCGTTGGTTGCTTCCTTCCCTTCTGCAGATGTGAAACTGCTTTAGGCCAGCCGGGATAAAGCTCACGACGGTGTCCTCACCGCATCTCCTGATTACTTTTCTCACGCCCCATCTCCCCAGCCCTTTAGCCAATTCTTGGTGTAGAAAAAGCTAGTACAGGAAAGCCTAGCCTTCTGCCCCTATTACGAACCTTTTCGGTGAACTGGTGTCCCCAGAGATCACTGAGATCAGTGGAAAAAGCTCCTACCTTTTAAGAGCTGCGGGCATCCGGAGGGAATGGTTTGTGTGGAAGGCCTGGATGATTAATTAGGCGGAGGCCATCATCCCAGCCCGTAGGCGATCTTTTTAGTTACTGCGGTGGGTTGTAATTTACTATCAGTCTGCATCTCTTTTATCAGGCAATTACTGGATTTATCACCTCCTTGAGCTTGTACTTTCTTCAGTACTCTGCCTTGACTCAGTGTATGGGTTGCGTTATTGATTAAAAGAGAAAGCCTGGCCGTTCATTTCTTTACCTCACTAACTCGTTTAAAATTAACTTCAGGGAAGGACCAAAGACGTGCTTTCTGCCCTGGCAACGAACTATTAACCACAATCGATGAGGTAGAAACGAATAGGCATTATTTGATTTTTGAGATTCAGCCTAGCTAGTATAAGGAACAGTAGCAAAGAAATATAAGACCAGGGCAGGAAACTGCATTACAAGATGTATAGGTCAATCTACTGTGTCTTCTCTTTTCATGCCCACTGTGCTTGCAGAACTGTTTGAAGTTTGCAGAATCATCCTTTAGATTTATTTTTGGTTAAGATTAAAATAGTAATATACAGTTTATGGTTCCTTATTCATTAGAAAGTGATATCAGTAAAACCAATAGTATTTTGAGTCAATTAGTTAAATTCTGAGCTAAAACAAAATACACAATTATTGGGAGAAGTTTCCAGAGCAGTTTTTTTCTAACTTGTGCAAAATCATAGTCTTCTTGTTAGAGAAATTATGTAAATTTGCATCACATGATTGGGTTGCATGAACATTCCTCTGAATTTCTTTTTGACATAGAATATTGGGAAATTTTTCACTGCCAAAAGAAATCATTACTTTGTTTCACCAAGAAAGAGAAATGTTTGATACTATATACTTTCATTCTTGGCCACAGCTGAATTCTGAAGATTGATCCAAGGGGGACTGTGTTAATTTCAGGAATTGATTTGAAAGACATTGGCTCTGCCACTTAACAGCCATGTAACCTTGGGTAAGTCGCTTAAACCACACTGAGTGTTTCCTTATGTGTAAAATTGTGTAACACCCACCTGGCCTGTTCCAAAGCGTTATGAAGATCAAACACGCTAACACGTTTGATACAACCTAGCGGTAAGGGGCTGTTACTCTTTTCATTATTGATTCTTTGTACATATTTGTTCTCGCTGAGATGTAAAAAGGAAATTGGTGTATTAAGAGAGGGGATTTAGAATCAGATAGGCCTGGATTCCAATTCTTAAGCCAGTTACTACTATACATCTGTGAGCCTCAGATTCCTTACCTGCAAAAAAGTGGCTACTATTACCAGAAATAACATGAATAATACACAAAGTCTACATAGGCACTGCCCCCTGGATGGTGAGCACTTCAAGGGCAAGGATTTCTTCTTACTTACTTTTGTAGTCTCCAGCACTGTGCTTGGCACATTATAGGTGCCCAATAAATGTTAAATCTTAATATTGGTTAATGCTAGTTAGACCTTATGTCTTCACCATGGCTGCCAAATTAGAATATTCTCTCAGGCTAGATGCCAGCTAAGAAATTTTAGATTATGAAATTCATGTACTTGCGATATTTATACTGTTTTTTCTTAGTGGCAATTATTCAGATGAAGCTAAGGAGATTTTTTTTTTTTTTTAAAGATTTTATTTATTTATTTGAGAGAGAGAATGACAGAGAGAGAGAGAACATGAGAGGGGAGGGTCAGAGGGAGAAGCAGACTCCCTGCTGAGCAGGGAGCCCGATGTGGGACTCGATCCCGGGACTCCAGGATCATGACCTGAGCCGAAGGCAGTCGCTTAACCAACTGAGCCACCCAGGCGCCCCGCTAAGGAGATTTTGATTCAAATAAATTATAGCTGACAGTAAGATAAATCTATAAATAATGTGTAAGCAATCTCGAGGTAATTTTTTATAGACAGTTTACAATTCGGGGACATGAAAGTTCATCCAGTACCAGTCTCTTGTTTTACATCTGGGGAATCTGAATAAAACCCACAGAAACAGTGACTTGCCTAAGGTCATGCAACTAACAGGGTATTCTAGATCAGAAACTTCTGCCATTTGGCTGGAGCAAAATGTTTTGTATTTTAGAATTGGGATAATCTAGAAGAATAGGAAATTGGCCATACTTCACACAATCTTTGTCTAGTTGGAAAAGAACAAATTCTTCATTTGAAAGAAAAGTTTCTTTATAAAATAGCAAACTGCCTTTGCACACGCACAGAAAATGACAGCCTTTCTCCAGTCCCCCTCAGGCCCACAGGAATTGTTCAACTTGATTTTACTTATCCTAACCCTACTCTAGAACTGAAAGGAACTAATTAGATGTACAAAGAAACCAAATAGTAAATTACAAGGAAAGAAAGATAACTGAAATAATTTGGTTCTTTTCTTGGGAAAGACATTAATTAGAAGCTTTTGCCTGTGGAATACAGGTCTCCCCCACTTTTCAGTTTGCTTTCTGCCACTTTGCTTTTATGAAAGACCCACAATAGTACCTACTTTCTCTAACTGAAAGTACTGAAAGAAACCCGAAGATTTCACTTATACAAAAAAAAGACAAAAAGTGAAAGTAGTTTTCAATCTTTGTTTTGCAGTGAGCCATTAATAGAGGCAGCACATACCCCAAGCGGCAAGAGTGGCCCCGCCAAGCTCCTTCCCTGCCCGGGAACTGCGCTCAGCGTCTCAGCATCAAGGCGGCACAGCTTCGAACTGTGTCTGTGAGCATCTGTGCTTTATCTTGATTTATTTTGTGCATTCTTTAGCAAGGTGTGTCCTGAGGTATCAGGAAAGCCTAAGAGAGGTTATTTTTTGGTTTGGGGAACACGCAAAACTTCTTCCATATAAATTAATGGTAATTCCTTATGCACTTTACATCATTTCGGCTTCTAAAAGATTTCATAGGAAGGTTCTACTTTCAGATAGCCGGGGAATCCTGTCCTGTTGCCTAGGAAAGACTTGAGACTGGGTGGGAAGGATTGTTGAACTTTTCTGGTTGGGGATACAACTTACAGTTACTTATTTGTAACAATTTGGTATATTTTGTCTAATGTTGTTATGTCTAAAGATTCCAAACAAGAAGCTCCCTACTTTGGTGATGCCTCTAGTCTTTCCTCTTTCTGTAAACCTTTCCCGTTCAGCCATATTGATCTTTTCTCTAACCACTAGATAGCAGGTTTATTCTCATTTATGAACATATAATAATGTTGTGGTTCTTTTCCTTGTCGGTCTTACCCTTGTGTTAACAGAATTCCAGAAGAGCAACTGAAGCACTCTAATTAGGACAATTCAAGGAGGATGTATTTACAAAGTTACTCTTAACAAAGATGTAGGACTTGTATCGGCAAACCACAGGGACAGTGCAGTTACTTGAAGCTAGCAACATCAGGAGAAGGAAGAGGTACCAGAACCAGGAGAGTCTTGTAGAGCCCCCTCGCCTAGAGAGAATGGCCTTCCATTGAGGAACATGGCCAATCCCAGGTGACCTAGAGGGAGGGAATCAAGGACATGAATATCCTGATCTCACTCTGCTACCTCCCTCTGATCGCCTGTCATGGCTCTACATTGGCAACCAGAAACCAGAGGGCACGGGAGTCTAATGATGTAATACCTCCTGGGGAAGAGAGCACAGTGGAGAAAAGGAGACAGTGAGCCCAGAGGGGCAAATGGTTGACCTCTGGCATAGCCGTCTTTTGGCATACAGTGCACCTCTTACCTCTTCAAAAAGTCTTTTCTTACCTTCCTAGACCAAAATTAGCTCTTCAGTTCTTATTAGGATTTGGTCATTGACTGTTGCCTTCCGACTATTTTACCTTGTATACTGTTTCATTATTTAAAAGCTGTTAATTCTTTTTAACTTCTAAATATGTTTGTCCTATCCAGTCAACCCAGTTTTAAACCGTGAGTACTGTGATTTTTTTTCCCATACTGTATTTTGCTTAATGCCTTGTACATAACAATTTTTACTATAACTTTTTATTATGAAAAGTTTTAAACATACACACAGTAGAAAGAATAGTATAAGGAATTCCTAGATACTCATCACTCAACTTCAATTACAAAATTTACCAATCCTACTGTATCCCCCCTTCCCTACCCGACCTCCTTGACCATAGTCCGTTTTTAAAGTTGCATTTACATTGATCTCTTGAAGGCCATGGATAGTATGCAGATGTTCATAATCCATGTTGTTGTCATTATTGAGCCACTGGGATTGTATTTGTACTCCTTATTTTTTTTTTTTTAAAGATTTTATTTATTTATTTGAGAGAGAGAGAATGAGAGAGAGCAAGCACATGAGAGGGGGG